AGCAGTCTTTAGTGGTGTCTAGGCTCTTTTCATAGCAGTCTTTAGTGGTGTCTAGGCTCTTTTCATTGCAGTCTTTGGTGGCGTATAAGCTCCTTTTCATAGCAGTCTTTAGTGGTGTCTAGACTCTTTTCATAGCAGTCTTTAGTGGTGTCTAGGCTCTTTTCATAGCAGTCTTTAGCGGTGTCTAGGCTCTTTTCATAGCAGTCTTTAGTGGTGTCTAGGCTCTTTTCATTGCAGTCTTTAGTGGTGTCTAGGCTCTTTTCATAGCAGTCTTTAGTGGTGTCTAGGCTCTTTTCATTGCAATCTTTAGCGGTGTCTAGGCTCTTTTCATAGCAGTCTTTAGTGGTGTCTAGGCTCTTAGTATATTTAGTATAATAGTGACAAATACAGAGTATGACCTTGACTTGTGTATATGCAGTCAGAATAGCTGTCATGAAGTGTTTTTGTTTGTATTAGTTGATTTTATATAGAGAAAACTGTCATCGGAAAACATCTTAATCAAATTACCATATTTGCCTTATTAGTGGTGCATGTGCTTACGATGTGTGTCTATCCCATCGGTCATATTTTAATAATTCAGTATAAAATTAATGCAATTGTTTATATGTGCTTCAAATGGAGCAAATACGGTAAATGCAAATTTTGTTTTATGTGTGCTGCTTTTAGAAACTTGCTTCTAATAAAACAAATATGGTATTCATATTTTTGCACACGTCACTGTCCATCAGTCAGGATTGCTGTGCATTTTGTGAAGATTTGGCTCTGTGGAAGGTAATGTCATAAACCTCATCTCACCCCAATTGGAATTGATTTTCTTATTGACATTACATGTAGAATTGTGTGCAGTTAGGTTATTTATTTTAAGGTTATTTCTAATTTATTCAACCCAAGCAATTAGCCAATCATGCTACTCCTTACTTGTTTGGTGACCAATCAAATGCCATCTTGTATAATTACTTAGGGTGGTACAAAATAGAATTACGGTAAATGTACTAAACTTGGTAACTCACTCTCTCATTAATATTTTCTGGATATTGATATACCAGTGTTTTCAGTTTCTCCACATTTTGAAATGAAACAAAC